GTCCTGGTGGTACAGTAGTTAAAGTGCTCTGTTCCCAACCTTTTGCTCAGCAGTTCGAAACCTACTCACAGAGCTAAGGGAGAAAAACATGACAATCTCGTTCCACAAAGACCATAAGCCTTGGAAACCCCACGGAGCAATTTGACTCTGTTACATAGAGCAACTTTGAGTCAGAATTGACTCATGGACAGGTTTTTTGGGGGGGGGTTTGTTTTGAACTAATCCTGAATCAACCCTTACTGGCAACAAATTCTTCATTACAATCACCTTCACTTGCTGCATGTGCAACTTTTCAGTCACTGGAAAGTCTTTTATTGCACTGACATAACGCTAAAAAAAAACCCAAATGCACCTGTCTGGCATACCTACAAATATGATTTAAAGACTACAGCAATAGATCTTTTTTGTAACACATGGACTCCCTGAATTATTACATTTATAAAAAGATCCAATGGACTAATATGGCAACTTCAAAATTAAAAAAGTTTTATCGTATCAAAGATTAACTCAACTTTCTCTTTAATCTTCCGAAGATCTACATAAAAAGTAAAAATCATGAAATATAATCCTTATGAATAAAATGTCTCAAGAATATTGAAAATGAAAAGTGAGTGCAATGGACCCTTATGGTACACTGAGAAACTAAACAGACTTTATATATGTGATAGTTGAAGATGTGTCAACTTGGCTGGACTCCAGTTGTGAGTGGTGGTTCCCACGATGGATCACATGACTGAGTTCTGAGCGGCGGTCTGCCCAAGGGGAGTTTCCCCAGGGGTGTGGCCTACCTGCAATGCTATCCCAAGGACAAACTGGAAGAACGGCATTCCGGACTATATACTTCCTTGAGTGAGCTGCTCGCCGCTTGCCCTGGAGGTTTCGGATTCATCCTTTGTTGGGAACAGCAACCAGTGTGCTGCGTGCCAGCTTGATTCTCTCGGCTCTGTTGTGCTTACAGGAACCAGGCGGCTCCGGGCCTCATCTCCTCCAGAGACGAACTTTGTGGCTTGAACTCCTCTGCCGTGCGTGCGAAAGCCAGGCGGCTCCGGGCCCCATCCCCCTCCAGAGATGAACTTTTCAGCTTGAACTTGTTGGCTTCTACACGCTTGTGAGCCATTTACCTAAGATAAATCTCTCTCTCTCTCTCTCTATAAATATATATATATACTTTGCTGGTTTTTGTGTTTCTCTAGAGAACCCAATCCAACACAATATATAAGATTAAACATACTTAATTAACCCCTTATCCAGGAGCTCTTGTAGCGTAGTACCTAAGGCACTTGACTGCTAACCAGAAGGCTGGCAGTTCAAACCCACCAGCCACTCCTTGGAAGCATGGTCGGGTAGTCTACTTCCGTAGTGATACCGCCTCAGAAACCCAAAGAGGGGTCACTATTAGTTGGGTCCGACTTGACGGCACATAACAACAACAACCCCTTATCCAAACCAAACTTACTGCTGTCAAGTTGGACACAACTCATAGCGACTCCGTCTTGGGTTTCCGAGGTGGTATCACTACGGAAGGAGATTGCTCAACTTTCCTTCTGAGGAGTGGCTGGTGAGTTTGAACCTCCCGCCTTCTGGTTAGCAGTCAACGTTACTGATATCTATTACCACTTTAAGAATCACCTGAGGATCTAGTTAAAAATGTAGATTCTGATTCAAATATATCTAGCATGGAAAGGCAAATTCTCAGCAGAGGGTAGAAACAGAATGAGATGGTTCAAAGTCCTGTTCCAAAGGTGCTTATTTAACAAGACCCCAGATAATTCTCACATATACCAAAATGAGAATCATGTGTATAATTTGCTTACTAAGCTATGACAACCTTGGACTAGGATTAAATTGCAACAACAAAAAATCTGCAGCATGCAAAACTTTTATCAGTCTGTCCAGAAAGAGAACTCTTTCATGGTAGAAGAGTTACTGTGTTCATATTATTTGTTTCTAATAACCAATCCACTTCCAAACAAACCACTAGGGCAGTATGCAATAAAATTTAAATACCAGTCATTGAAATATAAAGATGATAAAAGCATGTGAGGGCCGTAATAATTATGTCAAAATACAGAGTACCATATAATCAAATATTACATTTAACTATGAGGTTCCTCATAACCAAAGCAAAATAAATACAATGAAATTATCATCTGATAAAAGTCTGCATGCTTTTTCTGAACACAATGGATGCCTTCAAACTACAGTTTTTATTAAAAATTGAGAGTTGCTTTTGTCATGTGAACATTTTTGTGTCAACTCTAAGTATACAATTTCACTGGTGTTTTCTCAGAGGTAAGTTAATGAATCAATATATCTTGATATCTAATCAACTCAGGGTTGATTTGGAGTTGTATACAAGTCAAAGTTTGAGAGAAATACTGGATTATCTTTTTCAACTATCAGCAGCCTCAAGTGGACTTGTAAGTGGAGTCAATTCAAAACATTATTCTGTGAAGATGCTAACTTCTGTTTTTCTCCTGAACAGAAGAGAATTCTAGCTTAGGAACATGTAATGTTAAGTGTTATCCTGGTCACTTCAACCTGGTAAGACCTTTATCATTTTGGCACTGCTTCTCTAAATTACAGATTTTCAAGAAATTTGTTTTCTAGATAAGAATATTATCTATCACATATTTTATGGAGATATATCGACTAGAAACACAACTATACTTACTTTAAAAACAAGCATCTCTTGTCAATTCCAATTCATAGCACCCTACAGGTCAGAGTAGAACTGACCCAGTGTTTCCAAGGCTATGATCTTTACAGACTCAGACTGCCACATCTTTCTCCCACAGAGCAGCTGTTGGGTTTGAATGGCCAACCTTTTGGTTAACAGTCAAGTGCTTAGCCACTGCACCACCAGGGCTCCTTCTGTAAAATAAAGCACTCTACACTCAGGCCTGACTCTTTCCTAGTCATTAACTTATTCAAATATGCCCAATGTAGCTAACTTTTTTTTTTTTTTTTAAATATAAGTTGCCAATAAAAAGACCTGAACTTAACTATTTGGCAAACCAAACTCACTACCATCAAGTCGATTCCGAACTCACAGCGACTCTCACTGGGTTTCTAAGGCTATAAATCTTTATGAACACAGGCTGCCTTACCTTTCTTCTACACAGGAGCTGGTGTGGTCGACCCACCAAACTTTTCGTTAGCAGTCAAATGCCTTAATCATTAGACCACCAGAGCTATTTACTATACCACCAGAGCTCTTTAAGTATGTGGCAAGTTCTACTTAAAATTTTATCTTTGTCAAGTTTATCAGAATTGTTTTGTTTTTAAATTCCTGGGACACCTCTTCTAAAGACAATTTTAAGTGTGAAGATAATTTTAAGTATTTTCTGGACCTGATTCATGTACTGTTATTAGTTGGTGAGTTGATTCCAACTCATGGCATCTTTGGACCTGATTCATGTATTGCTATTAGTTGGTGAGTTGATTCCAACTCATGGCAATCCCATGTGTGAAGAGCAGAAATGCTCTGTAAGAGTTTTCAAAGCTGTGACCTTTTGAAGCCTCTTGACCAGGGCTGTCCTCCAAGGTGCCTTGAGGTGGGCTCAAATTGCCAACCATTAAGCTAGTAGCTGGGTGCCTGTTTGTGTTACCCAGTGACTCAAGTTATAGTTGGCTGTAATCAAAATATACCATTATAATTTTATAATTGGTACTTTGTATATAAACACAATATAATGAGAACATACATGCAAATAAAATAGGATTCAATCAAGCACACACAGGAACATATTAAACATTTGATCTAAAATCTTGTATACTTAAATATGACTTTGAAAAAAAAAAGGTTAACCTAAAATCAGAGAGAGGTACATGGGAGATACAGACAAAAAAGAGGAACCCTTTTGCACATACAGTACTGCATTGTCAGTGAAGGCAAACATGGATATATGCATGGATATATGGGTGGACAGGCTGAACTAAGGAAGGTTGGGCATTCTATTTTCACAGTGATACCACCTCGGAAACCCAAGGAGGAGTCGCTATGAGTCGGATTTGACTCGATGGCAATGAGTTTTGTTTGAGTATGCAGGGGGGAGTGTGCCGAAGACAATGTTTCTACATGTGTACTGGTATGTTGTGTGAGAATTACCAGGTATACAGAAGAACTGACAAGGGACAAGGATATAGTCACTTCTTAGCTACCGCCAGCTACCCCCAGGGAGCAAGTAGTTAGACCTCTGGGCTCGGGACCATAGTCGCAGGGGACATCAAGCTCAACTGGCATAGCATACTACACAAAACACTGTCCCACCTCCTACTTTGGCAAGTAGCAACTGGGATCTTAAAAGCTTGCAAGCAGCCATCTAGATGCTACGATAGGTCTCTCCTCATCCAGAGCAAAGAAGACTAAAGAAAACCAAAGATGTATGGAAATAATTAGTTCAAGTGACTAGTACACCATGTGATCTCAGCTTATACAGCCATGAGACCAGAAGAACTAGATGGTGCTTGGCTACCACTGTCAACCACTTGGAGGGGGATCTATGTAGGAGACCCTATATAGAGTGTGAGAGCAATGTAGAACAAAACTCAAAATCATTTTTAAAAAAAGGGATTAGGTTTACTGGTCTGATAGAGGCTGATGGAACCACTGAGACTATGGCCCCTAGCTGCCCTCCGGTCTGGAATTGAACCCACTCTTGTGGCTTCCAGCTGAATAAAAGACAGGCATATGAGGTGAACACTTACACTAAGTAGATACACTCCTTGGAGAGATCAATCATGGGAGAAAGAAGGGCTGTGTATACACAGGGAGACAGATCATAGGGCTGGAGTGCATGGAAGGAAGGACACAGGGAAGAGGTAACTATGGGGAGGAAATGGGAGGGGAGCTGTTGCATTGTGGTAAATTGTAGTCAATGTCATGGGACAAAGTGTATGCGAGCTGCTGTATCGGAGGGTGAATTTGTTCTGCAAACTTTCACCCAAATCACACACAAAAAGTTAACCTAAAATCTTAAGACCAATTGAATTCATACCTAATAGCCCAGTGTCTACATCATCTTCATTCTTCAGATTCTCAGCATGTAACTCTGTAAATACAAAGAGAGGCTTAGTTATAAAGTAAGATGACTTCACAATTTGAAGAGTAATTAAAGGCTAGAGAGACACTGTGGAGTTGTGCAAAGTGCTTTGGGGTCAAAGGACTGGGTTCAAATTCTCATTCTACTTATAATACCCACTGACCTTCAGCAAGCAAGCAAGACCTCTACAGGAAATCAACTGCCTTACAAATGGAAAAGCTAATGCTTACTCCACTGGGCTGTTGTGTAGACATTTGATGTAACAGGAATTGCAAAGCATACTAGGTCTTAGTTTAGTTCCTTAAACATTCTTTAAAATAAGCACAGCTCAATGTTTTCTGCAGTGGACTTCCATTTATAAGTTTAATGACTTCATGGTGCAAAAGCAATCTTTCAGAGCAAAAAGAAGTACCCTATGAAACTAAACTACCAGTTGCTGTGAAAAAATAAGGATTGGGTGAGGGACAAAAGAATGAAACCTTGGCAGCCAAATAATCTAGCATTGACGGTTTACATGCAATAACATTTCACGAAGATGCAATTTTCACACATTAACTTGTCAGTTTGTCTTCTTACATCATACATTATTAAGTTATTGGATGTCACCTGCTGCCCATTATGGGCTGGGAGGCTATGAGGAAAAATAAATAGATTTAACAACATTTAGTGAAGTAAAAGTATCCCTCACAGCACAGTGGTTAAAGTGCTCCACTGCTAATAGAAGTTCTAATCCACAAGGGGCTCCTGGAACAAAAATGTGGCAGTTTGCTTCTGTAAAGATTTACAGCCTTGGAAAAGAAATCCTATGGGGCAGTTCTACCCTGTCCTATGGGGTCACTGTGAGTTGGAATCCACTCCATAGCAATGAAGTGAATCTAATACTTCAGTGGTGTGTTGGGTGTTTTCAATACACAAGCTACCTAAAAGTAGTTCTTTGTATTTTTTTTTCAGAATAGTTTCAATTCAGGAATGATTCTTTCCACTTTAATAGGCAGGACCCAAGCATGTAACACATACAATATACAGGACCCAGGCATATAATTGCATATATTATATGCAATACCTGTCATTGCAATCAATTTTCATTCCAATTTGGACATTTCACTTTCAGGCACTAGGAAGGAAAAAAAGACCCATATCTGCCCCAGTAAAACTTTTCTTACTACACCTAGCTACAAACCTAACATAAAACTGAGACTATTGTATCCATCTAAGCACAAATCTGGGCTGTGGGATAGAACTCTCTGTACTGCAAGAATTCTGTGTATGTACAGAGGAATCAGTAGATCTATTCTAATTACACTCTCTTTTCATCGTCTCCTTAAAGGACGATGGGTTCTGCATTTTGCTTAATTTTGTCAATGTTTTACCCCCAAGTAATCACTGTCTTCAAGATATTAAATCTTCAAGAGTACCCATTTATCAAATGAATTTTGAAAAAGGGTCTCCTGATGACGGGTCAGGGCCCTCCACCTTGGCAAAGAGAAAACAAAGGGGACTAAGAGAAAGGTACAGACGACGACCCTGAGTGAAAGAGGCTCCCAGCTTGCCAGTGGAAAGGGGAGAGCTGGAAGCGACAGAGGTTCGGGCCCAACTTCTACTCTGGATAGACTTTCAAAGCCCGGCTTCAGTACCTTTCACGATCAGGTAGGCGATGGCAAGGAGGAAAGCGAGAAGGGCGGCGAATAACAGCGAACAGAGCACAGAGAGGACCTGGACAGGCCATCGCCGAACCGGGCCTCGGCCGCCCGCAGTCGCCGGGAAGATGCCATTCCGTTTATCTGGCAGAACTGGCGACCCATCCCCGACCGAAGGGAGTAACGAGGTCTTCCTGGGCTCCGAGGACGCCCCAGCCGAGAACTCCGCCCGCAGGTCACGGGCAACTTGGCCGCATCCCTCCTCCTCGTCGACCTCGCCCTCACCCCAACCGTCCCCCTGAGAAAAGGCTGAATACATCGGCCGAGAAAGTTGGGCCGGAGTCCCAGTGCGGCGCAGCGGAGCCGAGAGCCTCCCGCTCTCCACAAACGACATGGCGGGAAAGACAGTGCAGCCTACGGAGGCGGGGCGGCTCCCACCCGCCCAGCACTCCGCAGCCAATCAGCGCCCGTACACCATCGCGGCCTCCACCACAGGGCGCGGGTGCGCAGGGGTGCTTAGGAGTCCTCAGCCGGCGAGAAACAAGCTGAGAGGCCACAAAAGAGACCGAGTGCCCCTGGACCAGAGCCTGATCCTTGAACCCACAAAAGGGAGATAGAAACTGGAAACGCACAGGGTGAGGCAAGACAAGTTTGAACGCAGCGGCGTGCCTACCCCCTGCAGTGCTTCATTCCAGCCAGAGACCTCCGCCACCGCCGCGTCACCTACAGGCAGGCGCGCGCTCTGGTAGTCCCTATACCGCATCTTCCCGACGCTCGGTCCTAGCGCCCGCCCATGCCGCTCCGACACACATATCCGACCCTATTTTCTTTCTCCCTTCCTTTCTATGCTCGCATTCTTCCCTGCTTTCCTCCTTAACAGCAGCTCATTGCCAGGCGCTCGTGTCTTGCCTTAACTGCCTATTACTCGCTACCTTTCGCATATCTTTTCTCCCGGCCCCTTCCACTTCCCTCAACGGTGCTCGACGCGCACTCTCCACGCGGTGTGTACCGATCTCGAATCCTCTGTCTATACCCCTCCTCCCGTCTCCTCTGCCTCTTCGTCCCTCCCTCTGCCTCGAGCACTGCACGCGCGCTTTCTGGCCCCAGCCACAGCTAACACTACAAGCTGCCCACCCCACCCCCACCCTGCCCTACCCCTGGCGGCCTCAGGTTTGTGGGGCGTGCGTAACGGGTGGGGGCGGTGAAGGTGGCAGGCACCCGCTGTCCCACCCCCTACGGGGTGAGGCAGTCTAAGCTCGGGAAGCTGGGCCACTATTATCTTCTCTTCCACTGTGGAAGTTGGTTGAGTTTTCCCCGCAGAAGACTCCGCGCAGAAACTTCCTACGTCCCCCTCCCCTCCCTCCATGCAGGCGACGCCGAGTGAGGCTGGGGGCGAATCGCCACAGAGCTGCGAGTCGGCGGCGAACTCTGATTGGACTGCGGGGAAGCCTGTCAGCTTATTGGCCCCGCTGATCCCGCCCCGTAACACAGCGCAGCCTTTAACCTTTGGCCCGGGCGGGCGCCAGCCACTCAGATCGCTTCTTGTTGGTATGTGTAGCGGCAGTGGCCGCCGGCGGAGCAGTCTGAGCCCGACGATGAGGCCGGGGACGGGAGCTGAACGTGGAGGCCTCATGGTGAGTGAAATGGAGAGCCATCCTCCGTTGCGGGGTCCCGGGAACGGGGAGCGGAGATTGCCCAGCTCAAGCCTCTGCTCCAGCTCTTGGGTCTCTGCTGACGGCTTCCTGAGGAGACGGCCCTCGGTAAGGGATCGGTGGGGCAGGGGGAAAGCGGCACAATGAAAAACGGAGTCAGAGAGAGAGGAAGCTTTCTCCAAGAGGAAAAGCGGATAAGAGTGGACGAAAGAAGAGCTCGTGATGGTGGGATATGTCCGAATGGGAGAAATGGAGGGTGGGGACGCACAAAGGGAAGGATGTGGGACCCTGGAAGTTACCAGTGGGCTTGGCCTGGGCAGAGGCGTGGTGGAGATGCTGGGCCCTGGGCGGGGTAAGTGCCTGTGAGGTAGGCCTCTTTTAAGCAGGAAGGGAGAGGCGGAAACTTGGTTTTGTGGACTTTAAAAGAGGCTGCCACAACGTGTTTCCACTAGTGGTGGAGTCTACAGTGAGAGATTTGGCAGGGGTTAATTACTTTCAACACCTGAAGCAATGAACCTATGGTGAGGAAAGTTGTCTTTTTAAAGGGCATTAAAGTGACGAATTAGTGGGTTGCGTTTAGTGTGTGAGTGACAACGATCTCAGACTTTGAAAAATTTATTTCCGCAAGAATTTTATCGTTTTAAAGGTTGTATTAGAAATTAATAACGCTTATTTATTAGAATTGTAGTGCTCTTAGGTACCCATACTGTTTGTGTTTTCTAAGATCAGCTTTCATCTGAGTTAATTTGGTAAATTGAGCGCTTTAAAGTCCGTTTAGAGGCGAATTTAAGAAAAATCTTGATAAAACTACAGAAGACTAAGGTGGTTTTAGTCATAGACGTTTCTTTATTTTTTTTGGCTGAGAGCCACCCGATTGAGAGTGCGTTGTATTTGAGGCCCGTTGTATTCGAGGCCCGAAGTGTATCCTAGGGCGTGGTATTGGGGGTCCCACCAGACTCCATCCGACCAGTAATTCTGGCCATTATTGTGTTTTTAGATTTTGTTCATCGTAGACGTTTAACTAATTATTACGTACATTTATTCCAAGTTTAGCAAGCTAATTAGTAACTGATTAAATCACTTTCTTTTTAACTTTTTCATCTTAAACTGAACTGTCAGATGATTTTCATTTTGGTCAGAAATATGATCAATTGATAACTTACTGTAAGCACTCTAGTGCATTATTTTTATTTGTAATAAGAGAGTATAAACAAATCCTATAATTTAAGCATACATTAATATTCCACTGAAGGTAACCCATTTGTTGGTATTTTTGAGAAGCTTTTACTGTTGATAAGTAATTTTTGTTATCACTGTTTTTCAGATGGGACACCCTGGCATGCATTATGCCCCCATGGGAATGCACCCTATGGGTCAGCGAGCGAATATGCCACCGGTACCTCATGGAATGATGCCTCAAATGATGCCCCCTATGGGAGGGCCGCCAATGGGTCAAGTAAGAATGTTTTTGTCTTTTATTTTTATTTATTTTTGTGTCCTGGTATTGTGTAAGATTTTGAAGTCTGGGTAAATATTTGTAGCTGTTTAAGGATTAGTTTGTGCCCAAAAAATGTTTTCAAATACAGCAAATGTTCAATCATGATTATAACCAAATTTTGAATGTATGGAAAAAGTCTTCTTTATGAAAAACTTTCTTCCTTAACAAAACTAAGACTTTTTTTTTCCTTGAATTAAAAAGAAAAAAGGAAAATTAAGCCCCTTAAATTTTTTTTTTTTAAAGCATGTCAATTGAAGTGAATGTTCAAAGAATATCTGATATGTCAACATAAGCTTATGTTGGTGGACCAGAGAATATAGATGCATAGCATTTGAAAAGGGAATTGTTTAAGTCATTGGCTGAGGATGAGTTTTATATTTATTCCTGAAGTGTCTTCCTTTTTGATGTGTATGTTTGAGGTGGAGCTGGTGAGATTTCTACTCCATGATTTTGATGATTCTTAGGACAGTGTGAACTAGGTAGTTCATTTTCCATTTATACTATTTTATCTAAACAAAATTCATACTGCTTCTGCACTCCTGCTTTTGAGCTTTCCCTTTCATCTGTAGCATAGATTGTCAATAACATTTTGAGAGAGATTTGGATCAGATGGTTTTAATGCTGACTCAGTGACGTTGATAGAACTGAGTTCCTAGAGAGGCATTCAAGAAAAATAACAAGTTCAGTTATCATGAATGATTTTATATATTCTCTATTAAATCCTTTAGGTGGCTGAGAAATCATCAAAAATTTAGGCTAACAATATTTTGGAAAGCCAGTCACTTAGATACGATCTTTTGCTAATTGGTACTGTTTCCTTTGATAATGATTTAAGCCATGATGGTTAAAGTTAATGGTGCAATTTTAGTGGACAAAAGATGCTTACTCCATGTCTTTCTCTCTTAACCTTAAGAAAAGAAGGGCTTAATGTCAAGTGGTTTTCTTTTTTATTTGGAGTGTAGCCCTTAATTTTGTATAAAATCTATTCAAAGGCACAGGCCCAAAAAACTCTGCCTGGAGGTGTGATTGTAAAACAACAAATATTAAAATTCCCTAGAAGATGGAGAAACAACTCTGATTCCTCTTTTGTTTCTTTCCATCTCTAAGCAGCAAAGAGCTCTTCTTGTTTTCTTGGTAGTGCTGCTCTAACTAGGTAATGAGCTTTAAAAATATTTATTCTTTAAATGCTGTGGTTCTTATTTAAAATTAGTTTCTTTCCACAGAAAGATAAAATAAAACAATTTGCTACTGCCAGATGCTTCTCTCTTTTCTGGGGCCTTCTGTTTCCATTGGGCCAATCAAGGTAAGTTTTGCAAGGGATTGACCTGCTTACCCTTGCTGTAATAGTGCTATTGCACTACCAAAACCAAGATACCAGCTAGTCAGTTCTAGTAAATTGCAGACTTTGTCTTTTAAAAATACTTTCCTGTATTTTATTGACATAAGCTGGTCACACTTTGCTTTAAGGCCCTTTCTCATGAGTTGTATCAGTGACCATCTTCCTAGTAATTTTACTTGCTACTTGGTGTACATCTATTCAGATACTATGAATTTTGTTGTGTGGTTTTCCACTCTTTTCTTAGGGCCATTATGAATCATGTGCCTTTATATTTACCTGCCTATTTAAATATTTAGAAGCCTATTTCTTCCTATTGGCTCCTATTAGGGCAATGAATAAAAGTCTCAGGAGTCTGGCTTTCAGGTTCCCAGGAGAATACCTACTGTTTTTCTCAAAATTAGATTATCCCTTTTTCTCCCCTTAATATTTAACTAGCAAATCTTGGTAAAACTAATTCATATTTTAGCTTTTATAACAAACTGGGAAAGCATGGGTAATTCAAGTTCTCAAGTAATTGAAAATCTTACTTAAGTCACGTAAACACTTCCTCAAAAACAAAGTTGTTTGTTTGTAAATGGCAAAATTGATCCTTTTTTGGGGGCGTAATTTTTTCTGTCGAGCACCTCAGAAATATTAATAAGCAGTAAGTGGGCAGAAGATTATCAAGAAGCAACAGGGAGCAGACACTTAATTCACAAATTCTTTAGATTGGAGAATGAAAAGTCTAGAACCTTCATGTGTGTTGGCTAGTTCACATTATAATCTCTTGCTGAGCTATCATGTTAAAGACTAAAATTGGGGTAGTTTTACTTGCTAAATGAATGTGGTTTTTCAAGTGTTACTGCATGTCAAATGAAATTTTTAAATTTGTAAAATAATACACAGACTTGACAGAATAACAATTCTGGGTAATAGAGCTTATAATTT